AAGCCAGTGTAGACCACTACCCAATCCACCTGATGGCAGCAAACTGAATGTTTGCACAGGAGGAAAGGGAATTAGGTATGAGTGGCCAAATTAGACAGGACCTAATGATTAGGCTTCTCTATTCTGTAAATTTCCCTGAAGTTCAAGGTAAACAGCAAAAGAGATTGTAGATGTTCAAGATCTTTTTGCTCTAAGTCTTTTACAGAAATGAGAGACTGAGATAAGCTTTATTCCACCTTGTAAGGTTGGTTTCAACATCCTAGATAGAATGTTTGTTCTATTTAGAATAAATAACTCCAGGCACAGAGATTCAGGTATCTTTCTCAGTGACTCACTCTAGTTTATTCCATGATCTAGAAATTCTTGTATCTGACTCGATTTCTTTCTATATCACTTTATTTTTCTTAACCTTTTTTTGGTTGATTATAACATACATATAATAAAATCCATAAGCTCAAGTGTGCAACTCAATACATTTTTACAAATATATGTAACATAGAACCGTCACCCAGCATCCTAGAAGCCTCCCTACTGCACCCTCCCCATCAATACCCAACTCTAAAGGGTGTCATCCTGACTTCCATCAACATAGATTACTAGTGCCTGTCTTTGAACTTTATATAAATAATAACATACACTACAGTTTTGTGCGTGGCTTCTTTTATGCAACATTGTATCCTTAAAATCGACTACATTGTGAAGTGTAGTAGTAGTTTCATTTTTCATGGTTATATTTCTTTGTATGAATATAGCATATGTGGTATCTATTTTACTGTTGATGGATATTTAGATTGTTTTCATTTGGGGCTGTTACAAATGAAGTCACTATGACTTTGGTTATCATGCTTTAGGTGAATATTGTCCTCGTTTCTGTTGGTTATGTATCTGGGAGTGGAATTGCTCATAGATATGAGATATTCAGCTTCAGCAGATAGTACCAGAGTTTTCCTAAATGACTGGAAAAATTTATACTCCTGCTAGTAGCACCTGAATGTTATAGTCTCTGCACATTCTCACCAACACTTGGTATTATCAGTTTAAAATTTCTAGCCATTCCATTGGGTGAAGGTATCCTTATTATTTTGTTTTACATTTCTTTGATGGCTGATGATGTTAGGTGACATTTTGGGGGTATTTATTGACACATCTTTTGTAGTGCCTATTCAATCGTTGCCCAGTTTTTATATTAGTTGTCTGCTTTTTTCTTATTGATTTACAGGAGTTATTTTGAGCAAGTCCTTTATCAGATACATGTATTGCTTATATCATCTTACTTTTTGTAGCTTATGTTTTAAGTTTTTGGTGGTGACTTTTAATGAAGATTTTTTTTTTTCATTTTGATGAAGTCAAATTTATCTTTACTTTTACGTACTATTTAAGAAATCTTTATCTACCACAAAGTCTTAAGGATAGTCTCCTGTTTTGTTCTAGAGGCTTTATTGTTTTACCTTTCACATTTATGTGTACAATCCAGAATAGAATTTTTATGTGGTATTGGGGGAGTGGATAAAGGTCACACATACCCTTCCCTCTTGCCACCCCACCCCAATCACCATATATTGAAAGGACCATTCTTTCCCACTGTGTTGTGTGGGCATCTTGTTTAAATCAGATGAAGTCATAGGTTAGTGTCTGTTTCTGGATGATCCATTCTGTTATTATTCTTTTTTTTAAGATTTATTTATTTATTTTAGAAAGAGAGATCATGCAAGTGAGAGCATGCTGTGGTAGGGGGAGGGGCAGAGGGAAAGGGAAAGAGAATCCAAGCAGACTGGGCACAGAGCTCGGGGCCGGATATGGGCTCTATTTCATAACCCTGAGATTGGGACCTGAGATGAAATCAGGAGATGGACACTTAACCAACTGCGCCACCCAGGTGCCGCCATTCTGTTTCTATTCTAAAGTTTCTGGACTATTCAGTCATTTTTAATTACTGTGACTGTGTAATAAGTGTTGATATTCTGTCCTCTTTGTTTTTCAAAGTTGTCTTAGTTATTCTTGGCCTTTTTGCCTTTCTCTTACAAATTTTAGAATTAGGTTGTCATGGGGCGCCTGGGTGGCTCAGTGGGTTAAAGCCTCTGCCTTCAGCTCAGGTCATGATCCCAGGGTCCTGGAATCGAGCCCCGCATCAGACTCTCTGCTCAGCGGGGAGCCTGCTTCCTCCTCTCTCTCTCTCTGCCTGCCTCTCTGCCTACTTGTAATCTCTGTCTGACAAATAAAATAAATAAAATCTTAAAAAAAAAAAGAATTAAGTTGTCAATTTCTAAACACACATCCCAAGCTTCCTGCGATTTTATTTGAGATTATTTAAAATCTATAGAGCAGTTCTGGGGAGGATTAGCATCTTTTCCAATCACTGTTGGCTGGTTTCTTTATATTCTACTTTCAGTGGATGGAAAGGCATGTTTTGTCCCATTTGGGACTAAAATGAAGTCTAGGGCAGTAGCATGAGGCAGGCTTTCCCACCATTGTTCTGAGGTCCAAAATAGAGTTGGGTTTTATATCTTCCAAATGCTTCTGTGGGTCATTTCTGTATCATTTTTTGCTCTGCTTTGGGCCCTGGGACAGTGACCTCTCTGGAAAAGTGCTCTCTTGTCTCCGGCTTCAAGTTAGGTTCTGCCAGTGGAAAGGAACATGGATCAGAGGAGGGGATCAGGAGAGAAGAAAGTGAGGTCAGGGTATAGTTTCTTGGCTCTTTCCTTGCAGGGTTACTTGGGGTTGGCTGTGTCCCCAGACTAAAGGCTGTTACAGATGTCACCGGGCAGCCACCCTCTCATAGGTCCCTGTCTCTGTGCACCCTTCAGCCTACACATGGTGATGGCCCCCCAACACCGATCCCATATCTTTGGTAAACTCTTCCCAAATTATGTAGTTTGAATGGGCCATCTATTTTCTGCCAGGAGCTTGATCACTATGAAAGTGGAAGAAAAACTTTCTGTGTTGGAAGTGGAAGAAAAATTTTCTGAATAGCTTAAAAGAACTTTGAGGGGCACCTGGATGGCTCAGTGGGTTAAAGCCTCTGCCTCTCGGCTCACTTCATGATCTCAGGGTCCTGGGATGGAGCCCTGCATCGGCTCTCTGCTCAGCAGGGAGCCTGCTCCCCTTCCTCTCTCTCTGCCTGCCTCTCTGCCTACCTGTGATCTCTGTCTGTAGATAAATAAATAAAATCTTAAAAAAAAAAAAAAAGAACTTTGAGAATGAGGATCCGTTAAACCAGCGATAACCTTGTTGCATCTCCTCCTAACACTCTACTTCTGGCTCACCCTGCCCGAATATAGCATGAGGGCTCTATCCTTATCCTTGTGGTGTCCTTGGAAGTCATCAAGAGACTCATTATGGTGTAAAAACTAAGACCAGTAGCCTCCCCATGGAGCCCTAAGTGCCCACAAGCATTTTAGCCACGGACGAGTCGTCACTTCCTGACTCACTCGGGTGATGATGCAGGCTGGACTGTTCGTGCTTGTTCTGTGGGGCAGACACACCTCCACCCATGGATGTTCGAAGACGAGGGGAGAACGGCGAGCTGGCGTGGACTGCGAGTAGGAAGAAAATTGCTGCTGTTTGAAAAATTAGACCTGGAGCCCTTCTGGGGACAGAAGCCTCAAGCTACAGTGAACGATGGAGCATTTGACTAATCCTTAAGTGGAGTCTCACATTGACTTCATTTCACTCCTCTTTTGACAGTTGGGTTATTTAGTTGTCTGCTTTAGGAATTAATTTTTGGAAGGACATCTGTAGCCCTGGTGGGGGCTGGTGACATCTCTTTCCCTGAAATAGAAATCATGTCCAAAATGTCGTTTCCTGACAACAGTGATTAACCTGAATCACGTGTCAGATAATGCTGGCAAATATGACAGCACAAGAACTTGTGGGAGTGTAAATTGGAAAAGGGAAGAGCAAATAAATCAGGATATCACATTTTTTAATGAAGTTTTCACCTTATTAAGAAGTAAATAATAAGTGGAATTCTGTCGTGGTCCGTTTCCTTTGTAATCGGTAAGTCTGCTTGTGTGTTCATTTGTGGAGGTCAGCTAGAGCTGCCACCGCCTTCGCTCTCATCACTTGCTCCCTTGAGCAACTTGTGGATCCACACAGACATCCACTGTGGCTTCATCTCCCTCCCCCAGCCATATGCCCTAGAAAGTCACTCCTAGATCTCTTATACTGGAAATGACAAAATGGTGGCCCTCAGACATGTTTGATTGCCCTATACCTGTTATTTTGGGGAAATTGTTTGAAACTGAGAGATACAAATAAAAATATTCAAGTGCTGACTTTCCTTGAAACATGGGATGAACTGAGAGTAGTGGGCCCTCTGCTCCTACATGGTGACAGCGGCCTGTGATGAGGGGGTCATGTGCTCAGAGGGGAGCCGTGGTTTCACCTGGCTGGGCCTGAAGCCATTAAGTGACCCACCTGTCCTGGAAAACGTGTGTTGACATGGTTCAATGCATTGGGGATGTGAGAACAGAAACAACTGATTGCATTACTTCAGCCTGTGGTTTATTGGTATGAAAACCTGTAATCTCTGCAAGGCCATAGACTTTTGTCTCAATTGTCTTGGTATATCCCCAGTGTTTCATAAATGTTAAGATAGAAAGGAAACTTACTTAGGAAGACGAAGCTGGCAGGGCCGTGCAGGATGCTTCGAGGAGGATGCTGAATGCTTGAGAAAGACTGACTGTAAGTCAGGGCTGAGAACATAGACTAAGATGGTGGCAGCCAGAACCAAGAAAGAGGTGGCCCTGAGAGACAATTCGAGGGAAGAGCCTTGGGATTTAGGCTGGTAGGAGGGAAATGGGAAAAGGGGATGGTGAGCTTGGAGTCTTCATGGGCAGTGGTGCCAGTAACAGAGTGAGGAGGCGGTAGATCCCAGGGTCCCCTCTGCTCCCCCCAGTTCCAGTCTTTGGATGCAAAAGTATTTGAGTCTTAATTGTATTTATGATTTAGCTAATCTAATAGCTACTCTCAGAATCTTTCTCTTCTGTCTTTGACCCCAGGGCTAAGACCATCAAGAATACAGTCTCTGTGAACCTGGAACTGACAGCAGAAGAGTGGAAGAAGAAATACGAAAAGGAGAAGGAGAAAAACAAGACTCTGAAGAATGTCATCCAGCATCTGGAGATGGAGCTGAACAGATGGAGAAACGGTAAGGAAGAATGGAGAGGAAGAACGAGGCATGAACGTGTGGTTTCCTTCTCCTGGGACAGCTGGTATCCTGGGACACTTCGGGAAGGACCGGATGATGGCGGAGCTTGGTCCTGCCTTGCAACAATCTGTGTGAATGAGTGATGTTTTCTCATTGCGTAGAGAAGCTGCCCACCCGACCCCGTCACTTGGCTGACAGGCGTGCTTAGTGTGGGCAAGTGCTATTTGCAAGGTTGCCTTAATCTATTTCCAGTGAGCCACTCCTCTATGTTAGTGTAATCCTCTCTGGTAGCCATGTTTGAGGTTTCGAGTGCAGCGGCTGAGACTTTGAGACTCAGACTACTTTTGATTAAATGAAAAATGTCATTCACTCCTGTGCGAGTTTTATAATTGACTTGGGGTTAGAAGTCACCTCTGGCAAATATTTGCATTTTCAGGGGACCAGCTGATCTCTGTGCTCTGCTTCTTCAGAGCCAGAAATAGAAGGCTCCTGATGAAGTTCTGTGCTAAAATGGAGTCTTACAGGCTTATTTCGTGACTAGTTTTTTTCTTTTTTTCTCCCCAAAAATCATTCTCTTTGGTTTGTTCTACTCAAAGAAAATATCTCAGAGAGCTGACACACACTGGGTGGGTGGGTTGTGGGTGAGGCGTTGAAGAGGGGTTTCCAGATCCAAGTGCAGACAGATTATTTCGGGAATTTTAGCATTGTGATGGAATTAGAAGGTAGAAATCTCTCTGGTTTGTTGTTGTTGTTGTTTTAACTGAAATAGGCAGGTTGGTGTGTGTGTAGGGGCAGAGTGGATAGCTGGAGATCCATATTCTTCGCTGTGTCCACTGTCCACTATGAGTTCCAGGCACTGACGTAGACCTCAGTCTCTTGGGTGAGTGTAGGAGCCTGGGGGCTGCTAGGCAGGATGGGGGTAGAACCCGCCTATGTGTAACCACAGAGTTAGTGGTGGATGGTCTTGTGATTCTGTGTTTGCTGCTGTTTTTTTGCTAGGAAAGGTGGGGTGCCAGTGACCTACTATTCAATGGAAAAACGATTGTGAAGCAAAGCAGGATTCAAGAGAGGCTCAAGAAATGACCTAGTAGCCTAAATAACACAATTCTTTTCTTTTTGGGAGAAAAATGCACACATGTTTTGAAAGCTGCTAGAATAATTGAATAATTCAGCACCTGGGGCCGGTGGATGATTCCTTGCGATTTGGCAGGAGTTAGGAGAATGGGGAGGGATGGTTGGCAAGGCGGGGAGCGGCTGTATGAAATTTTGTTCTATTTCTGGGATCCTCTTGGGTCAGTTCTCTGCTGGGCAATTGGAACATTCAGTAAAGCCTTTTGGTACAGGGAGGGGGACTGGCCTTAGAACATTGCGCAGTGGGCAACCAGCCTTGTTGTTTTCTCTTCTGTCCTGTCCCTTGCCAAGCTTTCCCCCTGTGATCCTCCATGCGATTTCCCCCTGCAATCCTCCAACTTTGTCCTCTTGGGTCGGCCCTCTGTCCTGTTTGCCTAACACCCTCCTGCCTGGCACTCTCCTCTTTTGGACTTTTAATTTGGTATCATTTTAATTGTTTGCCCCACTTTGTCCACTGTGCAGATCTACTCAGAAAAACACTGTTTTCCATGTCCCACAGTGTGAGATCCTACATGAGCCCTTATGTACATAATTCGGGAAAACTCACATATGGTTTCTGGCACACGACAGACTTCCATAGATGTACTTTACGTAAACACATGTTTAATCCATTGTGGGAGTGGAAGGGGTGAGCAGTCAATCATGGTCTCTGTCCTTACAGAGCTTATAGTCCAATGAGGGAGACAGACTCCACAATCAATAAATGTGTCTGTGCTGCATACCAAAAAGGGAAAGTAGAAGGTACTGAAAGTTATTATAACTTTTAGTTATACTGAGAAGTCAGTGAAGGCTTCCCCTGATAAGCAACCTAGGGAATAAGATCTGAGAGAAAGAGAGCAGTTAGGAGCCGCAAGGAGAAGTGGGGGTGGTGTGGAGGGAGCCACATTTACAACAACCCGGAGGGGCAACCTTTGGCGGCGGGCAGCAGCAGGAAGGTCAGTGTGGTGAGCTGGGGAGGGGCAGTACAGGTCTGAGATGAGGGGAGTGGGTAGGCAGACCTGTCCTGTGCAGGGCTAAACAGTTTTTGTTCAGGATTTTGGTTTTTATCTAGCAATGAGAATCTAGCAATGAGAAGCCCTTCAAAGATATTCAACTGAGATCATATGATAAGATTTCCATTTTTGAAGATCCATTGGTTGTGTTGGAGATGAACTGGAGAGGGTAGGAGGCGTGCCAGGAACAAGGATGGTCTTCCAGGGATGAGGTTACAGTAGTTGAATTGAGAGGGCAATGGAAAGGGAGAGACATGGATGGACCAGAGAGGTGTTGAGGAGATAAAACCAGCAGGGCTTGGTGAGGAGCTGGCTGCAGAGAGATAGAGTGCCAAGTTTTCCAGCCTGCCGTATTGGATGGAGGGTAGAACAGGTTACTGAAAAGAGAAATACCAGAGAAGAGCCAGACTGGAGACAGGGGAGATGAGGAGGGGAGTTCGAGGTGGAACATCCAGAAGAGACTATCGAATAAGCAGTTAGGTCCAAGGGTCTAGAGCTCAGAGGGCCCAGGTTGAGCTAGGGAAAGAAATGGTAGTAGAGCTTTAGGAAGTACAGGAAGGCATAGGTAGGGGTGAGGGTCTCTAGAGAGAGGGCAGGAAAGAGAAGAGGGAGAGAGTCTTGAGACCCACCTCTACCATTACTGTGTAATCACTGAATGACTGTAATAGAGAAGGGGATCTGCAGAGCTCTCCTGTCTTCCTAAGCTAACATTCATTCATTCATTCATTTAATTTATTTATTTAGATTTTATTTGATTTGATTTGATAGGAAGACACAGCGAGAGAGGGAACACAAGCAGAGGGAGAGGAGAGGGAGAAGCAGGCTTTCTGCTGAGCAGGGAGCCCGATGCAGGGCTTGATCCCAGAACATTGGGACCATGACCTGAGCTGAAGGCAGATGCCTAATGACTGAGCCACCCAGGAACCCCAGATTTATGTTTCAAGGTAATTTTTTGGAGAACACCTGGATAACTCAGTCGGTTAAGTGTCTTGCCCGCAGTGGCTTGGTGACAGAGCAGGGATCTGAACGTAGGGCAGCTGACTGTGAGATTCATTGTCTCTCCATCGTCTTGCAGTGTACGCACAGCCCAAGTGGTTTGTGTTTAGGCCAGTTAGAGGAGCGTGAAAAACGCCACACCAGGAAGGAAGGGACCAGAAGCTCCTCAATAGTGTCCCGTGGACCAGGCCTAATTCCTCGTCATCATGAGAGCATGGGTGGTTTGTTTCAACTGGAGAGCTGGGACTTTGAGAGATAAAGTCAAGAAGAGGAGGTCCCCTCCAGTAAAACCCAAGTGGCAGGATATTTCCAGCTTTCTTTTGAAATTTGACACACACATTGGCTCTAAACCTGTAGGAGTCAGCCACTGAGTTCACCTCAGCGAATCCTGGGTATTGATGTTGCCATCCTGTGGGCTGAACCACTGAAGGCTGCACTGTCCACTGTCTGCATTCTCTGCTGGGGAAGAGGGGTCTGTCCTTGTATGGTGTGTTTATAATTTTAGAAGTTTGACTGCTCTTCTCCAGCCGTGGGAGAGCAAGAGAGAAGGAGCGGAGCTGAGAAAAAGTGTGCGTGTGTACATATGCTTGTGCTTTCCCATTTTTGCTGTTCTGTAGACTGAGGCAGAAAAGCCAGGGAGTCAGAAACGTAAAAGAACACAATGTCGCAGTGACAGATTGGGTCCAGGCAGGTCATGTAAAGTGAAGTTGATATAGTTGGTGACAATGGGACTGTGCGGCAGGACCGGGCACTCCCTGCCCAAAGTCATTCAGACGTTATGAAATACTACCCTATTCCATGCCTAGAGGCTGGTTCTCTCCCAGACCCCCACCCCTCCCCACTGCTACCAATTTTCAACTCCTTGTAGCTTCATGGGCTACTTCAAAATGCAAGCCCTGCAGTTTTCTCCTCTGGGCATAGTAGAACATTGATTCTCAGGATATGGCCAGTGACTAGTAATGTACATAATTACATCCAGCCGTAATTCCTGTCTGCCGTTGGCATTAAGGCAAGGCTCAGGGCATATGCGTGCTGGCTTAAGGGTGGCTCATGCCTTGTTTTTATAAAGAAGGAATAAGGAGAGCCACTCCATTCCCCACAGGGCCAGGCTCCTTGGGTAGCACAGGACAGGAATTGACCCTGCTTAGCTTAAACAAAACAGCAAAGCATGAGAAGTCTGTGAATGACTCGCAGAACCGAGGAACAGGCGAGCAGCCAGCCTCATCTGGCAAAGCTGGGGCTGCTCCAGAGACTGGGCTCCTGGGGGCTGCACCTGGTGTGAGTGCCCTCTTGAGTTTTCTCCCCCTTCCTCGAATTATCTGTTTAGGACGCAGAGACTCCGGAGAGAGGGGAGAGACGGAGCGTGGTGGTGTGCTCCGCTGGCTGAGGAAGCCCAGGGCCCTCTGCTGCGTCCTCTGACCAAGCCTGTGCGCACCGGGAGAAATCATTCCTCACTAGGAAGTTGTGGTGCTGAAATGAGAATGGGTGTTGCGTGACTGGAAAACACCTGTCCAGTCCAATCTGCTAGTGACCTCTTGTGGGCTGAAATCGATTGACAGTTCCTGGAATCTGGAAGCTCTGTGGGCCACTGCAGCCTCAGGGATTTTACTCAGCCTGCTTGCTTAAGGACAGATAGAGGGAGTGGGCAGTTGTCGGAAGCAGGGTTGTTTTTTCTCTCTAGCTCTGTGCCTTGTTCGTCATGTACGTGGAAAGGACTTGAACAGTCCTGTGAATGGGGATAGATTTAGATGGTTGCACTCAGGGTGAATTATGGCTCCCAGTTCACCCTGCCCGGTTCCCCCGAGTCTGTCCAGAAGACCCTTGATGGGCAAGTTGGGGAGGGAGGGCTGAGGGCCTAGGCCTGTGACCCTCAGAAGGGGG